CATGGACATACCCCAACATAGGTATATCCCAGCATGAATATAGTCTGTCCTGGATATACTCCAGCATTGGTTATACCCTAGACTGGTTATACCCAAACTTAGGTATACCCCAGCATGGATATATTATATCACATTCTAGCATGGTTATACACCAGTGTGGATATGCCCAATATGGCATCCCCAAGTGTGGATATACCCGACTGTGGCTATAGTCGCTATATGGATATATCCTAATGTGGATATATCTTAGCATAGGTATACCCCAGCATGAGTATACTCTAACATGGATAAACCCCATCACTAGTATACCCCAATATGGATATACCCTACAATGGATATATCCTACGATGATGAATATACCCCACAAGGATTATACCCAAGCATGAGTATACTCCATCATGCGTATACCCTAGTTAGGATATACTGGATGGGTAAAAAAGAAGTTCTCTTCAAGAATGCTAATATTAAGTTCCATTATTGAGACTATGAGTGACTGAGCTCTCAATTTATACACAGTAGAATATAAATGGTCTCCCAAGGCACTGTAGTCCCTTGTCTCTGGATATATTGGTCTTATTAAAACACATATTGATAAGGTCTCACTATATTGTTTGTTTGTTTTTCTTAGGATTTTGATTCTTTTCTTCATATTGTTCAAATTCTTTCATTATCACCTGTTGGACTCCGGGTTTGCCTCTGTGTTTATCATTCATGTCATTTAAGAATTTTTAACCAGTATGAATTTTTTGTTCTTTCTTTCTTTCTTAAATTTCCAACATTTTAAGGATGATGGTTTAAGCTTTGATACTTTGAGGAGGAGGATGGTTTAAATTACGATTCGTTTTCAATGACAATGGTTTAAATTATGATTCGTTTTGAAGGACAATGGTTTAAATTATAAACCTTTGAGAACGATGGTTTAAACTATAACTCTTTTAAGAATGGTGGTTTAAGCTTTATAATCCTTTGAGGACGATGGTTTAAACTATAACCAACTCATTAAGGATGGTGATTTAAGCTATATATTAACTTTTGAGAACGATGGTTTTAACCTATAAAATTTACTCTTAAGGAACAAATCAATCTAATCCATCTCAATAGGTTGGGGTTTAAACCATCAGTATGAACGAGTTTAGGTCACAGTGCATCACAGAAGGAAGGTTTACACTCATCCATCACCAGGCTTGAAGAAAAGGTCTCTTGTTGGATCATACTTTTACCACCATTTTTTTTTTTTTTTTACCTCCAGAGTCAATTTTTTTTTATGTGTTATTCATTAGTGCTTTATAGGTTTTTTATCATCAGGATTTAAAACAGGGAGCTGAGGAGGAAGTACAGGAAGTGACTTTGAGAGTTATTGAACTTTTCTCAAAAAAAAAAAAGGTAGATTAGTCAAAGTTGAATGCCTTGGATAAAAAAAAAATCCCTGCACCCTTTTTCTTTTTCTTTTCTTGTTATGTTTCCTTAAATAATGCATCTCTTAAAAATGCCCCAATAATTAATAAAGATTCTATTTCAGCTCAATATTAGTGAGAATAATAAAGATTTTGACTCTTATTTTATTCTCACAAATACTAAAAATGATCTAGTAATGCTTTAACGGCTACCTTAAATAAGACGCTCCATCAACTTGGTCATGGCAGACAGTCCTTACCTTGGTTCACTGCTAAAAATAAAACAATATATATTTGGCTCTATCAGATGAGTTGTGCTCTTTAAGACAGTAGGGAGTTTAATCTGTGGTGCTCGCTACAGGTGACAAGTTAAAAACAAAAATCTGGACTTTTTTAACCTGAGCCTGTAGTTCTCAGGGCAGACAGATGCAACACCTACCCTGATTTTGGCTTAAAATCTAAAAAATAAAAATAAAAAAATAAAATCATTCATAAATGTTGTAGCGTCATACTTGTTATATTTATTTTTATTTATCATTTATCTATTTTATACTTTCATTCTTTTCCCTGTTGTGTTGTTTGGTTTTCAGTTGTCAATTTTAGCTTTGGTTGTTGACGGTCACAGGGGACGAGCCAGGTGACCGAGCTTACACAGGTGTCCCTCAGTGTTGCCCTCCTACCTTTATTACCCCCCCCCCCCCATGTTTGGTGTCCAGACAGCATCACTACTCTATTAATTCAGGTGTCTTTCAGTTGTCCATTCTATACTTCTAATAGTCGTGTTTTTTGTAATCTTCGCATCTTCCCCTGGAGACTTTACCAAAAAAAAAAATCATATATTTAACAAAAAAAAAGCTCCTTGACATGATACAGAAAAAACAATATCTGTGTAGGCTTCTGTGTAATACATTGAAATATTAAAATAAAACCAACTGTAAATAAGTATTGCTGCTATATCTTCTTTCTGCGAGAAGAGGATTAAAAACCACAAATTAAACTACCCTGTTCTAAACTTACAGAAATAACAATTCTACTGTCGTTAACCCTATTCTTGAACATGGTGTCAGCCACCACACCCGCCACGTCCGAATCGGTTCCTCTAATAGGTAATCTTGGTCACGGATGAAGTCTAATGTACAGTGTCGAACGCAAGAGCGCGGCCAGAGATACCCCGGATGTTCACGGAGGGAGTAAACATATGGTTTAATATCTATTTATATATAGATATATATATATATATCTCGAAGTTGGTTTCATTCCTTAACTGCTGTTACAGGCATTACAGAGTTGCCCTTCATATAGCGGAACAGGTTTATTTTTTGTAATATATTTTATCTCTCTCTCTCTCTCTTTCTTTCTTTTATTATCTCTGTCTCTCTCTCTAACTCACGTAGCCCTTAGCCATTCTGTTTTTAGTCTGAATCACACTAAATTCTCCTCTCTTTCCCAACTGTCTCTCATTCTCTCTCCCCCTCACTAAATAACATCTTCCTCCACAAACCAACCAAACCTTCCAGCTTCTTACCCATGCTCCCCTACCTCCCTCACCCCCCCTATCCACTTCACAAGAAGAAGAAAATCTATATATGATACTCCTCCCTCCCCCCCCCCTTCTCTCCATACACAGTAGACACGACATAAACAGGTTCACACAGATCATGCATTCCATTCATGATGGTGTGGTCAAGTGTCACGCAGTAAGCACTCAACTGCAAGTGGGGAAGCCAATGTTTGTCTCTCTTACCTTTGCTTGTATGTCACTGTGTCTTGGTTCCCGTTATGGTCGTCTCTGTGTCCTTCAGTGATATATATATATACATTATATATATATTCTTTTATTTTATGTGCAATTTGCATTACAATTGGTACAAGCGCAGCATGTTATTTGCACGCACACGGTACTACTGTGAAGCTTGCCTGGTGTATAGGAAACTGCCCCGCTCTCCTGATACAGTTTTAGTCTATAAGGAAAGTTTTCTCTCCCTTAGTTTTGTTTTATATGTAATCTTTATTCTTAAGACTACATACTGTGGTCCTCACCTGTGCTAACTTCCCTCCCTCCCCCCCCTCCCCTTGCTTCACTCTAACCAGCTGTGTGGCGAGTGATGTGTTCTATCGTCAGGCAAGTTGTGTGGTAGAAACGCCACGTGCTTTCTTTTAATTTACTACTTTATTCATGGTACATCTATTAAGATTAAAAAATATTCACAGATATGTTATAAGCGTTTTTTAAAGACTGTCCATATAGAGTGATAATAATATATTTTAATGTGTATTAATTTAAATTTAAGACCAAATTATAGATAACCAAGGCTGATTATATGTTACTACTAACGTGTTCTCCTCCTGGACAGCACCTATTCCTCCACCTCTTGTTACTACCATTATCGTCTACCTTCCTCACCTCGATAACACAATTCAACATGTGCAATAATTACAGACAGGTCTTTATCTAAAAAAAAAAATACTTATTCAAATAATTAAGAATTTCAGTATCAAAATTCCTCGATGGTGAAATGGCTAAATTACTAATGGATCATTTTTGCTGCTGCTGCTTCCTGCATGTTCAGTTATTGTGCCTCTTGCGGCGAGTTGACTGAACCCTTCGTCACTAATAAGTCATTCCTTGGATAAATAAGAATAAGAGATAAATACACTTCACTGTTCAAAATTAAAAAAAAAAGAGGAAAAAAAAACAGTTGAATATTTCACTGGGCAAAAATATAGGGGAAAAAACCCGTGGTCTTGAGAGCTGAGGGTCCCGACGGTCATAGTGCGGCACAAAGGTTAGTTAGTTACTTTATGCATGCGTGTGTACTCCGTCTTATATACTTCTGTCAACAGATTGGATCGTTACCGCCGTCAAGTTTATGTATCACTTTTAACACACCTCGGGACGAAGAGGGTTCAGTAACTTGTACACTCGCAAAAACTTGAAGCTCACTGCAGTCTCATCCGAAGTATATATTCTAGAAGCAACAAACCAAATACTAATACACACTTGTTGTCTTCTCTACTAACTGATCAACTATTATTCTTCCTGTTGAGAAAAAAAAAAACCTTATTTGCGTCTCACTACAAAACAGAGACATATATTAAGGTGATCAAGTAAATAAGTTTTGTCGTCTGAGAACTTTTGTGTCTCAGCCTCTCACAGCGGCTATCATGACATGTCTTCTTAATGTTCTCTTTTACCTTTTATTTTACTGTATATATTTATAGTTTAATTAGCCCTTACGGGTTATATGCATGACTTAACTTCGGACCGCTGAGTCTGCCCGAGTGAATACGTCCTTAGTTATCCTCTGTCTCAGTCCTCACCACCACCACTACTTACTACTGCTACTCTCTCTCTCTCTCTCTCTCTCTACCCGCACTAACCAGCCAACCCCCTCCCCCTCTACTTGCTTCTAACACCCGTCCCTACCTACAGCACCATTCATCACCACCACCACCACTATCCTTTATATGTTTGATGTGTTGACGTGGTGAGTCCAACTGCTCCGAGACGTTGGAGTTGATCTTGCTGGCGAGAGAAAGAGAAAGAACCTTTGATCTTCTGTTTACAAGTGAAAAATGTTGACAAAATTCTCTGTACTAGATTATGGGAGGTTTTAGTCATGGGTATTGATAAAAGTTGATATGATAATTAATTCTGATCTTAATCATCGTTAGTATTTGAGATTTTAAAAGTTTCTTCAAGTCAATATTTTGAATTCTGTCTTTGCCACAATCTCACCAGCATTACAGTCTTCAGTTTGTACTACAGTTCAAATTCAGTTTTAAAATCATAAATTCCTCCTCTTCAATCACATGTGGAATTACATACTTGTAAATGGCCCAAATTGATGTATTTTTAACAGTCTCTTGCTGCAGTGTGGACCATCTTGTTACGGTCCACACCTGGTTCACAACACAGTACCTCCTCACATTCACTCATTTAACGACACCGTGTAGTAGTAACTCACTGAAGGTCAACCTCAACACTCCTGAGTGATGGAGACGCCACATCCTCCCTCTGAATGTTCCCTAGAGAAGCATGCCAACCCAACCTTACTTACCCCCCCTACACCTTCACCCGAGACTCCTGTTTAAATACCTAAAAAAAAAAAATAAGGACAAAAAAATAGTGTTCACGGAAAACTGAATAATAATCATAATAGATAATGTATATATAGATATATACTATATACACAGACATATATGTGTATATATATATATACTCCTAAACGTAAATAACCTGACAGTCCTTCCCTACCGGTAAAAAAGGCTACATAGGTTGAATAATGTTGTGGCGGAGTCAAAGTCTTTTAAAAAATCACTTTTCCCGGAGCTTCTCTTCCTTGACTGTGCTGCCAAGGTGCCGCTAAGACTGCCAGCCTCCCTACGAGTGTCCACAGCACCTCTTGTGGGGTCTCCCAGCCCTGGTACTGCTCACGGGGACCACAGATACGTCACGTTCAAGCACCTCACTCAATTGCACTGCAACTTGTGTCGAATTTACACCAGTGATGACAACTGTAAACTAATCTAACACCACTGACAACAACAGCACCCCTGAACTGACACCACTGACAACGACAGCACCCCTGAACTGACACCACTGACAACAACAGCACCACTGAACTGACACCACTGACAACAACAGCACCACTGAACACACCACTGACAACAACAGCACCACTGAACTGACACCACTGACAACAACAGCACCACTGAACTGACACCACTGACAACAACAACAGCACCACTGAACTGACACCACTGACAACAACAGCACCACTGAACTGCACCACTGACAACAACAGCACCACTGAACTGACACCACTGACAACAACAGCACCACTGAACTGACACCACTGACAACAACAGCACCACTGAACTGACACCACACAACAGCACCACTGAACTGACACCACTGACAACAACAGCACCACTGAACTGACTGCACTGACAACAACAGCACCACTGAACTGACACCACTGACAACAACAGCACCACTGAACTGACACCACCCTGACAACAACAGCACCACTAAACTAACACCACTGACAACAACAGCACCACTGAACTGACTGACACACTGACAGCAGCACCACTGAACTGGCACTGACAACAACAGCACCACTGAACTGACACCACTGACAACAACAGCACCACTAAACTAACACCACTGACAACAACAGCACCACTGAACTGACACCACTGACAACAACAGCACCACTGAACTGACACGACTGAACTGACACCACTGACCTTACTGAACGACACCACTGACAACAACAGCACCCTGACACGGCACACGACAACAACAGCACCACTGAACTGACACCACTGACAACAACAGCACCACTGAACTGAACTGACACACTGCAACAACCACCACTGGCAACAGACAACAACACACCACTAAACTGAACACCACTGACAACAACAAGCACCACTAAACTAACACCACTGGCAACAACAGCACCACTGAACTGACACCACTGACAACAACAGCACCACTAAACTAACACCACACAACAACAGCACCACTGGCAACAACAGCACCACTGGCAACAACAGCACCACTGACAACAACAGCACCACTGAACTGACACCACTGACAACAACAGCACCACTGGACGACACCACGACAACAACAGTACCACTGAACTGACACCACTGACAACAACAGCACCACAGACAACAACAGGCACCACTGACAACAACAGCACCACTGACAGCAGGTGCACCAAGAGCATTACCAGGAAGATCATAACACAGTGTACGAATCACCACACTGAATAACAACACACCTGCTGAAGAACACCACACCTGCTGAGAACAACACACCTGCTGAATAACACCACACCTGCTGAGAACAACACACACCTGCTGAGGAACACCACACCTGCTGAGGAACAACACACCTGCTGAAGAACAACACCACATCTGCTGAGGAACAACACACCTGCTGTAGAACAACACCACACCTGCTAAAGAACAACACCACACCTTCTGAAGAACAACACCACACCTTCTGAAGAACAACACCACACCTGCTGAAGAACAACACCACACCGGCTGAAGAACAACACCACATCTGCTGAAGAACAACACC